AAGGAATTGCAGGAGGAATTTGGGAAGGAATTGCAGGAGGAATTTGGCATGTTCCTGGTGTTGTTTTTATGGCAAAGGACAACTGTGTTGACACAAACACAGTGATCAACCCAGCAAATGGTTAAAAGCCCTGACCAGCAGCAAGTGGAAGGTCTGGGATGTTTGATCCCTCCCCTGGAAGGGAAGAATGAAGTGTTTGCAATATTGAAGCATTGCCTGGGATTATCAGCAGGAAGGGAAATTGTGATTATTTATGAGGGTTCTGTCACAAATCCCATTCATTGGAGTGATTTCTGGCAGTTTTGGGGGAGTGGGATTTGAATGTTGAGGAGGGATTGATGTCAGAGAAGTTGCCATTTCCCTTGGACCAATTGTTTACCATTCTCAGGACTCCTTGGAAAATTAGATGTTGCTGTTTCATGAAATAAAAAAAAAAAGCCACCCTGGTTTGATTAGATGCTAAAAACTGTTAGTTTTTAGCCATTCTGGGCTGCAGTGAGGATCAGTCACCTGTGGGGTGTGGGAAAAGATGGATGGAGCTGGTTAAGAAACATTATTCAAGCCTGGAGGTGTTGCCAGTGCAAGGCTGTGTCTTGTCACATCAAAAAAGCAAACAAAGCCTGTCAGAGTGAGCCTGCTGGGAAAAAAAAAATAAAATAAATTAATAAACCACCCCTAAGTGCAGCAGGGAAGAACTTTTTTTTTTCTTAAAATGGCCCAGCAAATGGAACCCTGAGTGAAACTCAGCCCATCCCCCCCACCAGCACTTCCACCCAAGGCTGGGGGGAAGAAGGAGCTGCTCCTGCCTTTTGGGGTCCATCTCTCATTTTTATGGTGCCCCAGGGGTGACATAAACCTGCCAGTCCAACCCACTGAACGTTCCTGAAGGAAACTTGGCGGTCCCACAAGCAGGATTACAGAGAGCCTGATTTGGAATCTCATTTTTCAGAGCCTGATAATTAAATTCAGATGACTCATTTTTGAATAATTTCTTTTTTGCCCTTAGGGGGGGAAAAAAAAACCAAACCAAAAACCTGGCACTCCTATCTCCTCTTTAAACATGTTGATATGATTCAGCATGAAAATAGAGCTGAAACCCTTTTTTTTTCCCTCCCCCCTTCTGTCTATGAAAACCTGGTTTTAATTATTGGTAATATGGCAGATAGACTTGCAGCCAAATCAACCCCCCCTGTTGAAGTATCTCCCAGCTAAATATTTCATTTCCTAAGCATTATGAGCAGTTTTAGTCGTGTCCGGAGCTGTGCACAAATAAACAGAATTAAATTTCATCTGGGGGATAATTCCTATGTATTTCCAAGCTATGGAATGTGATCTAATGGTGGTATTTATGAGACCATTAACTCAGCACTTTGAGTAACCTTGACTTGACCTGCACTTATAAAAATCTGCATTATTATTATTCATCCTCCCCTCTTTAAAAATGGATGTTTTGTGGGTTTTTTATGAGCCAGGTTGATTTAAGTGCCTTCAGTGCCACGTGTTGATTCCCCCTCCCTGGAGAATCCTCATCTGAGCCTCACTGGCTCCCCAACCTGTTGGATGGGAATCCTGCAATGAGCATTCCAAGGGAAAGGAGGTGGCAGGTCTGAGCAGAGCAGTGGAGGCTGATGGGGCTGCTCGAGCCATATTAATAAAATAACACATTTACAGCTCTTTTAACTGCTCTCTCAGCTTCTGTCAGGGGGCTTTGGGTCTGGAGTGCCTTGACAGGTGAGAAAGAAAATTCTGCTGCTGAGGAGTGAGAACGGGAGGGGGAGGAAGGAGCAGGGTGAGGATGAGCCTGTCAGGTTGGGAAGGGCCAGGAGGGGGAGGCCAGGCTGGAAGGAAAATTTGGAAGGATGGCAGGAACTGCCCTGTCCTCCTTTGGGGTTTGATCATCCCAGTCCCTATCCTGGATGGGGTCCTCATCCTGACCATCCCTGGATGAGTTTTAAGGTCCCTTCCACCCAGCCCAGTGTGGGATCCTCTCACATCCTCAGACTCTTTATTATCTTCAAGATTCGGGGTTCTCTTCCCTGTCACTTTGTCCTGGCTGATCCCTGCATCCCTCCTGACCTCTCTCCCACCTCCACATGGATGTGTCCCCTCAAGGACTGGGGTGATCAGGGCTGTGCTGGGCAGCCCTTGTTTGGCTCAAAGTGACTTTAGGGGAGGTTTTTGCTCTGCCTGTGGAGGAGGAGGAGCTCTGGGTTCCCTTTGTGCAGTTTAAACAGTGACAATGTGGTTTTGTGTCTGCTGCACTTGTGCCTGTCAGGTGCTGAGATCTCCTCCAGCTCGTCTGGGCTCTGTGTCTCATCTCAGACACAATAATGTTGCTGTTGCCAGCCGAGGTGGTGCTGCAGGAAATGACTAATAATCCAATTTTCCGTGTGTTTACAGCCATTCACTCAGCTCAGGTGTGTGTTTTTCTGGGTATAACCAGGTGGTTCAGCAGGGAAGGTTCTTCCAGCCCATTCCACTGTAGCTGGAGGTAAAAGGTGTTTGTGCAGAGCCAAATTTCCTCCAGGGCAGAGAATTTCAAGTGCCTGGGAAAGCAGTTTGATGTTTGCCATAGAAAGTTTGTTTTGTGCTGCTGGGTTGGAGAACAGGAGGGAGGGAGGGGAGGCAGTGCCAGCTCCTGCCTGCCCTGCTGAGCCAGGTGAGCAGCTGCCACAACCTCCTCCCCCAGAACAGCATTTGGCTGTTTTGTTCCACCAGTGAAAGCATTTTAGAAGCCTCTGCTCCTGCCAAATGAACGAGTTCCATGAGCTCAGACTAACGAGCTCCTGCTCTGCCTGCCTGGGACAACTCTGGCTGGAGGGTTTGGAAGGTTCCTGAGATGTTTCTAATTCTGAGATGTGGATGGTTTCTTTAATAATGAGGCTTTTCGGATCTTTTAACAGCTCATGTTGTGTTCTGCAACTGCCTGTGGTGGATGATGAGGATCCAAGTTGGTGGGAGGGACTGGGATTTCAGCTGGGAAGGTGCTGCTGTCGTGGGATTCAGATCAAAAATACTCAGAGCCTCTTTGGGTTGTGTGTTTTGGGGGGGGTTGCATCATCTCTCACATTACCCCAACTGCCCTCCCACTCTCTGAGTCTTCCCTTGTCATTCCCCCCGGGGAACCATTTCTTTTTCCCTTGATTTGGTGTTAATAATCCCATACTGAGGAAATGAAGTGGAGCTGCCAAATCCATGCAGTTCATTCCTGTCTGGATTCAGTTCCTCCCCTTCAGTGTCTCACCTCCATTTTGCCTTTCCAGCCTTGGAGCTGTGTTTTCCTCCCTTGCACAAATACTTTTTGTTCCTCCCCCTGAGGACTATTTTCCCCACTTAATTTGTGTGGAATTCAGTTTAACTTTGTCCCCCGATTTCCTGGATAAAGGAACCTGACATGTCCACGTGTATTATTTTGCATTACTTCTCTAGCACAGCTGTGCCAGATGTGAAGGCCTCCAGCTCTGCCCCAGAGGTGCTTTGTGCAGATATTGAGCAATGGGTGAAAACAAAAAGCAGCAGGGACCAGGGTGAGAACTGAGGAACCTTTGCATTTAAAGTCCCTCTGGTGAATTCTGCATCTTCCTTTCTGGAGCTGAGCCCTGGAGACTCCTTTGAGCCACCAGCCCTTTCTGGAAAAGCATTTCACAAGTTCCCTCTTGCTCTGTGCTCCTGCAGAGAGCTGAGCTTGGGGGAAGAGAGGTTTGGAAGACTCATCAGCATTTGAGCAGCTCCTCTTTATTTCCTTCCTTGTCATTACCTGCAGGTGACCCTTCCCTCCCCACCCCCCTCCTCTGAGTGGTTTTTAACAGTCATTAGAGTTCTCCAGGGCAGGATCTGCTCTGTGATTCCCTCCTGGAGCTGCTCATTCCCCACCCCTGCCCAGCCTCGTGTCCCCCTGCCTGTCGTGTGTTCCTGGAGGTCACTGCTTCACATGATGGGCTTGGTTGGTGAAAAACTCTCCTCTCTGTGTGGGCTTCTAATAAACCAGCCTATTTTCTTTCTATCAAAGCAGCCTCTGATCCTTGGGGAGCTGCCTCAGAGCTTTCAGGGCGTGTTTTCATCTCGGAGCTCAGTCGGTGTCTGTGATGTCCATGGAAAGGCTTTGGCTCCAAAGGCTTTGGGAACCAGGATTTAGTGTTTTGTCACTTGCTAAATGTGTTCCTTGTGCTACTGAAACTCTGAGTCGGCATCTGATGCTGCTGCTCCCTTCAGTAGGAGAGCCTTTTCCCTTCCCTTCCCTTCCC